CCCCAAAACCCCAAAACCCCAAAACCCCAGCTTAATCAAACCCCGGAATATATTAAAAGTAACCAAGTGTCAAATATGGAGAAAGCAGGATTTAAGCCGAAGTAGTAAAAATAAGTATTTATCCAAAATTTATCTATAATCAATTATGTTAACTTCTCCAAGCTGGTTTTCTTCAAAGACTTGTTCAACTTTATTTTGGGTTACTCCGCAGGCAGTAACAAATACTTTTTCAAGACTCAATTTTAAATCTAGAGAACTTGCTAGCCCTTGTACCAAGTTCTCAAATTCATCTAAGTTGTTCTCCCAATCACTTCAATCCGGGCTTCCTGATCCTTGTAAATTTATTTCCTGGATTTGGCAATTCTTCAGAGCCTTTGACAAATCAGGAACACTTGGGATAGATAGCCTGCAATGTCCCAATCACAAAGTTCTCACATGTCTGAAAGCTGCCACTAGCCTCTTGAGTTGGGGCAGGCCGATGCTGAATTGTCTAAAGTTAATTTCTCGAACGACTTTTGAGCTGAGTGTGGTCAGGGAGTTTAAGTAGTTGCACCTTTTCAGATCCATTTGGCCACTGGACCCAAAATCGAGACTCTTAATTTTATTTGGGAATGAGGATTGTAAGAAATTTAAAACAAAACGCTTATTTTTAGAAGCAATCCGAAACAAAGCAAGGCAATCTATATCAAAAACCTTAAGACTCTTCAAACTTTTCAACAGTTTTTCATCTCAGGTTTGGTTCAACCAAATGTAAAGTCTACTGCTTCTTGAAACTTCTTCGGAGTCTGGATCCGATTGCTCAACTCTTTCATCTGGAAGAACCTTATAGAGGATGCTCTGGCATGTGGTGACCTCTTGCTCCTTGGTTTCTGCCAGGACAGACTTCTCTAAGCTACACAATTAGAGGTGGACAGGGAGGTAGATCAATATCAGAATCCGTCAGAAAGTTGGAGATGAAAGGGTGCTAATTTAGATTTTGAGAACTCCCAGGTTTAAGGCTTTAGGAGAAATGTTATCTGTGGAGGTCCTAAATTAATCTAAGAGAGGTAAGGCTTATAAACTCTCTCTAGTTTTGCTAATAACTTCTCGGTCAAGAATTTTCGGTGAAATTATTATAAAAGTTGGAAATTTTGGTTAAACTTTAAAGTTTTGGGACTTGTTACAAATTTGAGAGTGAAAATTTAAAATACTATAAAACTAAGCTCTCAGTTACCAGATTTTTTGTGTGTTCTCTTCTTCAATAGCTTTAGTAGTACTTTCCATTTTATTATTATAAAAACTTAATTTTAAACTTTATTTTTCAATATGTCTGCAGAGGAGTGGGGTTTTGGGGTTTTGGGGTTTTGGGGTTT